TATATCTATGTATTGCTATATAATTTATTTTTACTTTGCGACAAAATGTATAGAAGCATTAAAACATTATTATAATCTTCAAAACAGAAAGAAAGTAAGAAAAATATATGATAAATTTCAAAACAATATTTCTCAGTTACATTTAGAACAATAGTTTTAATCTAATGACAAAGCAACGAGTAATGTTGTCACGTGAGATATATGCTGTATTTGTAGCGTTACATATTTTTAGAAAGATCTGTTAAATTACAAGTACAAATGTTGCTGCAATGCAGCAATTGAGAAGCTCCGCGCAAAAAATGTGCTCATAACATATACCTTACCAAATTATTCCTACGCACAGGTCATGTTTTATTCAGATTAAGTACTATTGTAGATTTTTTCCGAATGTTTTGTAAACCATTTTTTGCATAATTATACTTATCTTATGCACTGTCCATTATTAAAAAGGGAGGAAAGATTTAATATAAAAAATGCTTTCACTGATGTCTACCTGGTAAGGAAAGTAATTCCATTGAATACAAACAAGACTTACAAGACTTGTAAATGTTATGTGACATTACTGTAACATGTTCTGTTTGTGTCACTACTGTAGTCAGTAACATAAGATGATAAAAATATCAAAGTCTGTTTTTTTATTATTATAATTGTAACAAATATACAAATAGTAACAAAAGGACTAATATTATAATATAGTAATATTACATGCATTTTTTTCATGTCGAATTTTTAAAAAAATGGTTTCTTTCAATACTGAAAGTAGAACACACTCTGGAATGAAAAAATGGGATGAATTTTAAAAAAGACCAAATTCAGGAATTTGCTTGTTTGTTATACACGCATTACATGGTGATACAGTATTTATCAATATAATAGAAGACTGTTACCTGAATTTTGGGAAGGATGAGGAAATTCACTAACATCATGTTCGTGCGAGTCAAAGATATGAAAGCTATTTGACATTGGTAATATATAATAAAAAAACAATTGTTAATTAATTTATTGGCAGATTTATTAGGAGATCAATATATATTTTTTGATGAATTGCTTTAAAACCATTCATAAAAAACATTACACTTCATGTTCAAACTGCAGATGAAAGTTTCTGTTGTTATCATGATATCTATCTATAGCCTATGCTTAATGAGGGTCCATCACAAAATGCAGCTTTCCTGTCGAGTACGGACCCCGAACATGTCACCAGTCATACCCTTATTTTTTTTATTTTTCACAAAGTGGTATGCTACACCAATGACGCTAATGAATTGTAACATTATATACTAAAGTTTAATTATTTCAAAACAACCAATATATCAACATGGTAGTATTAAACATTTAATTTCATAAATATAATTTTAAAAAAAATATCAAAAGCAAAATTGTTAAAGTCTTATGCCTGAAATCTTCTTTATATTGACAAATTCAATCACTAATAGTATACTTGATATGCTGTGTGTAAATGTAATTCAAAATGTAACAAATTACAAATTCATGTACTACTAAAAAAGGGAAATAACAAATTTATAACCTAAGTGTCAAAAATCAGAACATTTATAGCTATTTATAGCTTTCGCATTCATGTACAGCAGAACTGCTTTCCAGTTCTCATTCATTAATATGACATGCTGCGAATCACCGACGAGGAAACCAATATAGAAATCGAAAGGAGTTCTTGAATGCGGATTTACTTTTAGCTGTAAATCGAAGGGATTTATTGATCAAATCCGGGCCCATGGACAAAAAATTAGTAAACACAAATAGCTCTGCGCCTGTGGGCGCGGAGCAATAACATCACAAACATGTCCTTGATTTCGAAGTGCTGAATTGCAATATAATACACAATGACATATTTCATATAACTCTTTTTTTTTCTTTCGGCAAATTAATAAGTGACTTATTCAATTTACATAAACTATTTTTGGCAATTCAAAAATGAGTTCGACTATATAAAAAAAGCAATTACTTGTTAGTAAGACCGCAGTGATTTAACTAAATGGGAGACAAAAATATTATTTTTGTATTTAAACTTAGTTTTAAAGCTACATTTCCTGATACAAAAATGGTTGTTTGAGAAATGTAAACTTCTTTCAATGAACGTCAATCATTTAAACCTATGCAACTTTAACATGTGAATGATTTAAACAAAAAGGTTATATTTGTTTAGTTCAGTGTAAAAATCGGGATATATATTTCACCGAGTGAGGCTTAAAAAGTATATTTCACGAGTGGCACAGCCACGGGTGAAATATGAACTTTTGGTGTTCACGAGGTGAAATATATTCCGATCTTACACAAAACTAAACAAATTTTCCTTTTATTATATGCAAAGAAACGATTAAAAAAGACATTTAACCTAATAGTAAATGAAAAGCGCGCCAAATAATAATACAACGTGACGTCATTTACAACGTCACGTCATAAGTTGGTTTCTAGTACTGTGCACGCTGGTATTTCACTGAAAAACAACGTAACGGGCCTTAATTCAAAACAATGAAAACATCAATTTGATAATTCCACGGTTTGAAACAGTGAAATATCAGTTTTTTATTTCACTGATATACTCGTATTTCTATAAACCACAAAAAACCATGTTATGAAAGGTCGTGTTATTAAATTATTTTTCTTTCAAGAAATGTTCTTTTTTTCTTCTAAAGAACTATAATGATGAAAAGATAACTATAAAATCATTCAAACCAATCACATTTGTACCAGAAAAAATCACCTGTTCAGTGTTTAAAACAACAACTATCAGTGTAGAGTGTCGATACATCAGTGTTACCACAGGAAACGTATTTGCTAAAACATCTATCTAATCGATATTATTGTATCATACACGGGCTGGAAATGTCTCTTCAAGCTAACGAACCAAATAAAACACATAATTTCTTGAATATTTACCAAATGTTATCCCTTGTTTTACGTTATCAACCACTAGGACTTTAATTAACATTATAGTCGGAAAAAGTGTGTATGAAAGATTTTATTTCTCTGTATTTAGGAACGTTGATGATTGATTAATTGATATAAATCATGAGAATAAGAACTTATACAGATATCATCAACCAGAATTATTTTATGTATGCATTAGTACATTCAATTGTTTGAGGTCGTTATGTGTATTACAAGTTCTGAAGCACCAATTCACATTTGTATTTTCTTTTTATCTTATTTTAAGAAAGTTAAAAAATTAAAACAAAAAGAATCCCATATCGTACTTGTCAGCTTCTGTGCATAAAATGTTACTATAACATACAGCCTCCAAGATGATCAGAGGGTCACAAAAATTAAAACTGTATCATAAAATAACTTTTTAGAAGAATTAAGCTGTACTTTAAGGTTAACTCTTTATAAATATGTTAAGGCTTACAAATTATTATATTTTACCTCACTGATATTTTAGAATTTAACGCCTTCTTAATGAAAAAAAAAAATAAATAAAACAAACAAAACTAGAAATTGGCAAATTATAGAAAATTATTTCAGGTCATGATTGCTGCATTAATGTAGAATGCGACACTTTGCGAACTTTCGAATAGCGTCTTGAAAAGTTGACCATATTTCAGATTAAATTCCGTAGTTTTTATTCCAATAATTTCAGCCATTTTCTGTACACATGACGTGATAGTCGATCACCAAAGCCCGTTTTGCATGTCCTTGGCAACTATTACGGGTATCACAACTCCATAGGCTGTCCAATTATCATAAATTTTACAGTATTCGACGGAAATTTTCGTTTTAATTTTATGCTGATATAACAATTATCGTTTTACGACGAAAAATATTTGAAAGATGGAAAGAAAATTGTCAATTTTGTGTAACATTCGTTTTTCAGTTTAGTCACATTTTTGGCTTTTAAGCCGCTTTTAAAAAGATTGTTCAAATATTTTTTTGATTTTTTTCTTTAAACTGTATACTCAGTCTAAATGACTTAAAAAGTGTAATATCATATTGTAGAGTGCAATGATGCACGATTGTTCTGTCACCAAAGCATCAATATCCATGCGTTTAGCATGTTCATTACAACTGAATATTTAATGCTGTGCCTCATAACTCAAAATTCCATTCAGGAAAAATGATTAAAACGTTAAAAACAGATACGTCCATGCTCCAGACAAAACTGAAACTGATGGCCATAACCCGAGTACCCCATTTACTATCCCGAATTTGAATATTCGTTTATTGGTATACCTAGTAGTACTAGTAGTGATACTGAAGAGAAATCTTTAATCTTGTAGTAAACGTGTAATATGTTACGGGAAAAAATCCAGTTAATAACATTCGGGTTCAATATAAGCCTCAATATTTTGAGCTAAATACAGATTTGATTTCTTTGAGCAAACGATATTATTTTTCTTCTATATTTCCTTTCTAACTAAAATAAAGTAAAACGGAATCCCTAAAGAACGCCTCCCAAAACGGCAAAATTGAAAATGTTGTAGACTCGGTTGCATTGATTGCTTCATTGAATAGTTTCATTTCATGAGAACCGATATAGTTTTAATACAATAAGAGAGCTATAACCCAATTATTTCTTAGTCCGTTCTTAACTGCAAACAAAAATGTTATAACTTTCTGTCGATAGAATATAGTAATGCGACCGGGGTTCAAGCAAAGGTCTTTCAATAAGTTAGGAAACCATACTTCTAAGGTTAGGAGTGAACATGTTTACATTTCAAATATATCAATGGCATTTTCAACATAACAATATTGCGTCTATCAATACCCTATTGTCCCCTAAACCAACATTGTAAATTCTACGCACACTTAAAATGTCATCCCATAGCAATCTCATCTTGTGGACACAGCATTGTAAAAAATGAAAATCAAACATAAGTATCAATTGAATCAGATAAAGCAAACAATACACTTAATACAACGATACTCTAGTCCTAGGTTTGCAATAATTCTACGGTTTTTGATATCGCGATGTCATGACACGACTCGCCCAATATGATTTAATCGACGTCATTTATTCTCAAGTCTGTATTAAAATGGGCCTGAAACTCTCTGCAGCGCGCATATATTATTGGCGGGAATATATATATTGACAACATACCAAGTTTCTGATTGGAAATAAGAAATCATTGAGAGAATGAACTGGTGTATTGGAGAGTTTGTCATCACTAATTTGTCTTCTTACAAATTGGAGCTCACTTTTTAATTTACAGAAAATAAAGATATATTTGACAGTTGCGTTATTCATAAAGGAAATCAAAGTTTTGTAAATATCTAAAGACGATAACTACATCTGGAATTTTCATATCGGTAAGAATTTCTGCATTATTATTTAAAAAAGAAATACGTCAGTTTTTAGTTCTTCTTTCTTTTCAACTAAATTGTGAAATAATTAAAACACATTTATATAGTCGAAACATTTTAAGGGAAGTTTCAAGAAAATTACAGTCTTGAACCAACTGAAGTTGTTATACTAAAAGTGTATGATAAAATGTAATGGTTGATTCATGTTCATATAAATGTTGAGAATTTATAGAGGAAACAAATAATTTTTAATTCAAATTCTGAAGACGCTTTCATTTTTTTCATCTTTTAAATCTTGAACAAATAAATTCTTCTAGACTGAAATTATTGTAACAAATGCCAGACAAATACTGTCAATGAAAATGGAAAAAAAAATAACGCCTGCAGTTAAGTAACGAAGGACTTTGATTTTTATAGAAACTGACAAAACTGCCATAACCTTCAGGCAGTACTTTCCCAACGGAAATTTGATCGTAAATGTCCGGTCGGGTTGATACAATAAAAAGAGAATTCGCATTTTGTTGCAAACCTTATCAATTGAATTAAATAACCATTTGTTGCAAAAAGCATCAAAGCTACGGATATTGTTTATGTCCTTATGGCAAATCTCCAGAGTTTTCACGAGTCATTGGTAATTTTTGGATAGTGTCAAAATAGATTAGTTAATAAATAAAGCATAAAATTCTGCGATGAAACATTTTAAAAACAATTTGAAATGATTTGATAATTACTCACAACAGGTTGTTAATCTTTTCATGATTTTTTTACGAATTAAAATAATCAGTTTCTGTTTTTCATCAATATTTTGATTTAGTATATAACTGTTGTTTAAACCTGATAGTTTTGAGTGTAAGGTATTATGACGCATCTGACATAGACAAGCTTGATTTATTTTCGGTGGTCTTAAACCTGGATAAAAATTTCAAGTAAGTAAATAATTATCTTAGATATTTCTAACAAACATATCTGAAAATATTCAACGGCATTAGAAAACAGTTTTGTGTTAAACATTATTTAATTAAATACCAGTATAATAATAAAACAGAACAATGTAATTTTAATGCAAGAAATCTTGTTTAATTTAGTAAAGGACGTATGAAAACAGATCTGCTTTCCATAATTTAACGAATTGTTTTAAGTCTTAATTAAACCTCATTGCCATTTTCTTGCAAGTGAAATGAACAACCGCAGTCTGTTAAGTCGTAACATCAGAGATAGTTAAACGTGTTGTAATGAAAAGTACAATAAAGTCGGTATAAAATGAAGATCTTATTTCATCCTTTTGACATTATTACCGAATCTGATTTATTATAAGAGAAAACTTCAATCATTCTTATACAAAAAAACTTAATTTGTTGTAGCTCAATAAGATGCTATTTTTTCAACATTTCAACTGATAATATTGGTGCAAAAGTGTACAATTTGTTTCGGAAAAAAATTGTTACTTCTGCAATAGGGATGGTAAATTTTTGCCTATTTGTTTCTGATTTTATTTATTGAGGTTACGTAGAAGAAAACTTTCGAAAGCTTTGTTATACCCAATTTATTCTGTCAAATTTTGTTAACAGAAAGTAAGTGTTCATTTCACAAACATCCAGTCGTATATTAAAATGATGTTAAAAACTAAAAAGGCCTGTTACATATATCGGAAAGCCACCCATTAATTTTTCCATTTATAAGACACGTATGCTGAGTAACATTCCAATGATAAATTCTATTAACATTTTCTAAGTATACTATCATGCTAAACTCCGATTAACAAAGAAATTGTAAAGTAGATATTCAGCTGTAAATGACATGTAAGAGCATTTCCCATTCCATGTTCTTACCATTGTGTTCGTATTTTAACAATATTTATGCTTCTTTACTTTCCTATAAGTTTCTTAAGTTCTTATAAAAACGACAACCTTTTTTATTCACCATAAGATAATTATTCCAAATTAAATAGGATAAATATACCGAGTAAAGTATTTACTGCAATAACAAAATCCTCTTATGCTATGAAAGAAGACATCTTACCATCATGTCTATTGCTATTTAACCATCAGTCGTCTAAAGAAACATATGAGAGAAGTTAAAAAATACAACATGTTAAGGAAAATACAAAGTGCAAATCTATGACAATTTTTTTATTTTTTAATAAGCTTAAAATTAAATTGTAAATTTCATCGTGCTTTTCTTAATATTTAAGGTTCTACAAAAATGTATCCGCAAAATGTTACGTTTTTACAAATGACTAACAAGGACTCATTCTTTTTTCCTTTTTTCTGAAATAAATTATTTAACTGCACTTCTAATAATATTGTTATTAACTCATTTATCACTGAAAAAATTGATTTAAATGGTTCTATGGTTTCTGTTACGTTCACAAAATGTATAATTAATTTCTCTTGAAAATGATTAAATCTGAAGTGCCTTCTTGAGTAAATCGGCTAAATGGTCCAAACTCTGGAAAAAAAATGAATGTATAAAAGAAACAATAAGAATAACATTATTATAAATATTATTAAAAAGGAAGTAAAACAAGTATAACATACATAAATATGAGTGTGTGAATTGGAAAATACTTGAATGTACCAAACATATGAATATCTAGCAGATCTATGTATATTATCAGTCCTCCGCTGAATAAATTGAGAAATCTTTTAACCCAAGTTCTTAATATCAAATTTACATATTATTTTTAAGATTGCTACAACAGTTCAAAATTCTTGCGTGAAACGTGACATGCATTTCAATATGTGGTTAATGGTGATGATTACTTAGTTTAATAAAACAAAAAGGACAGTAAGAAACATAATTTAAAGATTTGTCAAGAAGAACATTCATTTAATCGTTGATATTAGTTTATGATAATATGTATGCTTATATTTGACAAGGTAACAAACAATCTAAAATTCATGAAAAACAAAAGACATTTTGGACACCAAACAGTGATCTGAAAAATTTAATTTATATGAAGATTTAACTTCAATAATTCTTAAGTTGATAGACTGAGATCATAGGTGCCAAGGGACACAAAAGGAGCTCTCAAAGTGTTAAAAGACAATCGGTTCTTTTGCATTGTGACAATTTATGAAAATATCAGACATAAAAGAACTTATAAGATATTCTTTATATTTCAAATTCGTAAATGAGCGGGTATAACCGCCCCCTTTGGGCGTCCGTGACCGTCCGTGTCCGTTTAGGTTTCGAATTCCGCGAGTGACTTTGAATTTTTTAATGTGAGGAACCTTTTCAGCTACCTTGCGAAACGTCGTTTGTTTTACTCAGGTGCCCGCTCTTGCTTGAAGTAATGCACAGAGGGGAACCAGAGGCCTTCTATCACCAGTGAACCTCAAAAGTCGACATATGACCTCTACTGTTTTGGTGCCGCATAAAACCCAACCAAAAATTTTAAAAATACTCACCCTACGCTTTACCGTTGTTATAAAAAAATATTGATATAGAAACACAATGTGGATTTTATTTAACAGATGAATTCTACATACCATTGCATTGCACGTCTTTTCAGTAAGATTTAAATTAATATGACGTTTGAGGTTTTGAGCTCCATTAATGTAAGTTTTATGCTTCCATTATAAGTATGACGGACGGACACTCACTGTTGGTGATTATAGACTTCCTTTTCGAGCGTTAAATGCAATTTTCCCATATAAACAAGAGCAAAGTCTACATAAACCGATGAGTTTTGTGGGTTTCTTCTTTTTGCCCTAAGAAAAAATTGAATACTGAATAAATCTCATAGCCTATTGGGTCGAATGAAAAGACACAAGAACAGACTGGGTGAAAGAAACAAATCCATATCTATCTATCTATCAAAACTACTACGTTTTTTGTGTACTTTTTATAGCTGAGATCATACATTTGAAATTGGAAAATGGGTTATCTTACATTTGTTTTTTAAAAGCTAAACACGCATACACTAAAAATAACCTAAAATGCCTTTGGTAAAATATCTTACAGACAAAGCATCTTATTTATATAGAAAGAAAAACAGTTTAGAAATCAATTATCAAAACAATATAACGTCACTCACATTTTTAGAATGGTTTTGATAATACTGTTAAAGTTTTATTTCGTATATGATTATAGCACGTCCCTTTACATCAACGTTTCATCCTTTCTGACGGGGAAAAACTCATGTTACAAGATGTGTTTCCGTTTGGTATTACAGAACACCATTTGGGGAGTAAATTTAGATAATATGGTAACCAAAAACCCCTCTGGTATTACTGTATAGAATCCTATATCAAATCAAGGTCTTACGTGCAAATAGCACTTGAAACCTAAATGATAGGGCGCGCAATCAACTCATCGCATAATTAGCGATGATTTGTCCCCCGAGGAAACTTAGATCAAATGTTATAAAAAAATAGCATCACATTAGCAAGTGCAAACTCTGCATCTCGATCGGCAATGATAAACATCCGATTTCATTAAGTAATCATTAGCATTATATCAATATGGCAGCACATGATATGGAATTTATTATTTAGAAAATAACCAAATAAATTTAACAGATGGTTATTGGACTATCAAGGATTTAAAGAACAGAATATCCCAATTTCTTTTTACCTTTGTTACTATAAATTAACAAAGAGATTATCAAAATACAAAAAGGGTTAAACAGTACAATATTTTTTGTATCCGTATTATAATATATCGACATTTTTCCTTTGTAAGTTAATTGACAAATATATAAGGCGCCTAGGAACCCAAGATGTTATATTGTCGTATCGCTTTGAAAGTCTCTTGGGTCGTTTTATTGGCTTAAAAATTTATTGCTGTTTCAAATGCCGGACTAAAAAGATAAATTACACAAAGGATAATACACGTAAGTGAACAGCAGTCGAGGCAGTCGAGAATGAAGTTTTTGGTCTAATATTGAAACTTACTTTCATATCTTAATATGTTTATTTTGTATTCTCTGAATTACGATGAAAATGACAGTGTCATGTAAATTAGGATTGTCTCATGTGGTATTCTCCCATTCAAATCAGGTGCCGGTTTTGTAAAACCCGTACCCATGGGGCTGTTATCACGAGGGCGTTCTGTCAGATTTTGAAATATTAAACTTTCCTGATTAACTATCAAACAAATTGTAAAATTTGGATGTCCTTTTCACCTTCAATTCACAGTTTATTTTGAAACATTTAATCATGAGATGAATTTTTAATTAATTCATCTCTCTCGCATCGTTTTAGTGTAATAATAATGGATAATCGTTAGTTCTAAGCCGCTGGTCGTTTAATTATTCATAGATCGGTAACCATTTATCGGCTAAAAAATTTAATTTCTTTTGCGTTTTTTGAAACTATGTTACCATGTTACCACTTTTATCTGACAAGAATCTCTCTTTTTTCCCATTCTACTATTAAAATGATAAAGAATGTTTCAATCCATATTAATGTAATGAAGATATATATTTACAGGCACGATATTCATAAATATACAGGCGTTTTGCTTTTTTTTTTCTTTCTTTTTCTTTTGTTGTTTTCGACTTTTTTTTATATAAATGTAGTCCATATGACTATAGAAATTTTCATCTTGACTATGAAACAGACTTAACAACTGGCTAAAAAAATTAATTAAAGAGGTGAAATGAATTGCTGCTACTGGTCACATGTTCCTCCCACATTTCGTGACAACTGTCATCACATATTTCAAAATAAATGCTTTGGCTAAGTGATTGTTAGGTAGTCTATTAGGATTTGTTTATAAGGTCGGGTTAGAAAAACTACCCTATCATACGCCTACTGACTATGCCCTAACTATATAATCATCTGCAAAAACTGGACGTATTAAGGTAATGACGATGGACGATAATTGTATTTGTTTATAGTCCGATGATGTTATAATTACGGACATTTAATGCGAGTCAAAACTAAACACTAATGTATTCTCGAAGATAAAACTAAAAATAGTACTTAAATAACTGAGTCATAGCAATAAATACACTAATAACACTTTAAAAAATGTCAATTGAGGGGCATTTTCTTGTATTTTTAATAGATACAATTATTCGTCTTATTTTGTAGCCTATTTGTTAAGAGAAATCTACAAAGAGCTGGAAATGAAAGTATTGTTTTAATAGCTTTTTTGTATTTTGTATTGGCCTTTAAGGACACATATATAATTTGATATGTACGTAAATAACAGTATTCGTTTATTTGTTTGCTCGTCAAAGAGAGCCTCCTGACTTGTGAATGCAAATAAAGTCGTCTGCTTTTGTTTGAAGAGACGTGAAAAAAGAATATCGTTGAATTTTTAATTATCCCCTTGATAGCTCTCCTGATATAATGGATCATATTTGCAAACTAAATCAGTTATGCTGATAGTGATTTATATTTTGTACCAATAGTTATGTATTCATATGAAAACAAAGTGTAATTTACATTTAATAATGATGTGGCATCTTATAAATAAGTAATGTGACATTGTTTTATTTTATCAAAAACACTTATTACATCGCGCATAAAATATTTAGTCTGATAACTATAATGATACGTTGTCACATTTAAAATGTTTCTGAAACATAAAAAATAATAAAAATACAACAACAACAACAATTTATTTTAGGCATCGTCAAACGCAGAGTAAGATATATCTTATGATTACTGATAATAATGTTAATTACCGTCAGCTTAGAGTACCTTATTATAGACTTAAAAATTAAAACAGTAAATGCAGTAAATGACCAAAAGCAATATAAAAACCAACATCAACAAAAATAAAAATAAAACTTGCGTTTCAATTGCAATCTTGATGTATTTTCCGAAAAGAAGCTATGAATACATTGCACTCGGATAAAAAAAAAACAGGCGACATTTTTCGTCGATTCATACCAAGGAGAACTTTAACTTCATATCAATATGCGAAATACAAGTAAGAGAGAACACTATGTCAGCTGATACCGAGACCATGCTCACCATAACATTTTATTCGTCCCATTGATAAAATGAATTCCGTATATAATGGTAATGTTACAAAACACATGTGCAGTTTATTGAAATGAAAACTCCAAAAAGAAATAGGTATTAGCATGCACTTGGAAGATCATGGAATCAAAAGTAATAAGTAATTGGTAGGACGACAATTGATCAATTAGCTTGATTAAACTGGTTAAAATGGTAGGATATCGCAGCGGAACAGCTTATTTTTAAGTCGTCAACATTTACACATTATAAATGCATTAATTGCTCTCGTAGAATGTTCTAGAATAACTGATTATTCACTAAGATAAACTTGATTAGTTCTTTGATCTCATTTGATCTATACCCGTGACAAAGAGAGAAAAAAAATAATTTAGTTTATAATTTTCTGTATTGCAAATACACATAACTATACGTTTTGCTTGGTGCAGTCATAATAAAGAAAATACAAAAAGTACACTCGTATTATTTAAGCGTATTAAAAAATATAAAGATAATTGTATAAACTAAATTAAGGCAGTTTGTATCTAACGTTTCTAAAACTTCATCAGTAGACGAAAAGTAACTCAAGTGTTTCTTTAGAGGTTGACTGCTCAACTAATAAACGGAAGTGATTACATATTTATCATTTAACGCTACATAAAGGCGCTTAATGTTGAAAAGATTCTGAGAGAAACTTTAATCATTAAAATGTTGTTTTGACGCTAATTATGGCTGTTCTGTCAACTGATAAAGATAATTTACAGAACTGTTTCCTTAAAATAGTTTATCTTCATTTGTGCTTATTTGAGCAATATTTTACGCTTGGTTAAATTATCGTTTTTCTGGTTATTACCATGCGCTTTTTTTAATAAGCTTTAATAGGTTATTAATTAAAAAATGCTATTTACGGTATGTAGAAATGCTCATAAAGCTGAAAATTATATGAATGTTCAGCACTATATATATCTTAGAGATCATATAATTATGTTGTAATTAAGGATGTAACAACACTTAAGTGAAATTTTATATATGTATATAATTATTCTTCGAAAACAATTTCAAAATATCCAAGAAAATGTTAAATATATACTGCAAATATTTATTCGCATTATAAGTTATCATTAAAATATATACAATCATTTCTTATTGAAAAATTTGGCTTAGACTTCATCATAAATAGATTTCGTATTACCTCCCTTTATTTACATGAAATTTAAGTTCGGTAGATAGATAGATACTTTTTATTCCTCCAATATTGAAGAGCAAAACATATTTACAAAACCGAACAATAACAGAGCATGGCATGTGTACAATAAATTACAAATCATAACATCTAAGCAAACATCATTTGTTATACAATTCTTTCAGATCGAATAAATATATGGAGATATGCTGATATCTACATTTATCTCATAGGATGACATAAAATGTATGTAACAGACTTTATTTATATAAAAACCACATCGTATTTGTATTTACTCTGCTAAAACTAGAAGTTGACTATATTTATGATATAAAACCTTAAAAAATGAGTTACAAGATCTTTAAAGAACAATTAAACATTCAATTAAGCAAACACGTGCATTTTATATGAATAATCGTAGGTATATAACTTGGTATATTAGTTTATGTACTAATATATGATTATTTACCCTACTCTGATTCATCGTATTTTTTTTCTATTCATTAATTTCGTATCTACTTAATGAACATTCTAATGCTTTCTGATGCATATAAGTTGAGTTTATACTTTATTTTGTTAAATCGAATTCGGGTTTATTTAAATAGTGTATACGTAAGACTTTTTTCAACTTCATGGCACAACAACCCGATGTTTCCTGTCACATTATTTACACAATCTCTCTTTCTCTGACATATGTTTACTTAAACTGACTGTGAATATTAACAAAGCGTCATCTGGCTAAAAAGGAGCCGTTTCAATCATTCATTTTACTATTGCTTCATGTCATATTTGAATAGAATTGAGTAGTTTAGTTGGCAATTTCAGCTGATGCTAAAATGTTGGCTCATAATCAATTTAATTTACGTTTAAACAATTCACAGTGATATGTAATTTTGACAATACTATTTAAATATTCTCCTTTCAATTTTATCGGGTGAATTACAATGTGTAGCATTTTCATGCATTTAACATTACAAAGTTTCCCAAAAATGAGTATCTAATACTTAAAGTATCAAATTATAACACATAACGAAAATATGAATTTAACTTTTATGAAACTGAGCGAATTTCTTGTAGCAATGCTCAAAAAAGATCTCATCTAATATTATGAAAGTTTTAAGACTATCCATCCTACTTCATTAAGTATTGTTGAAAAGAATCAATTTATGAAATGTGACAAAGTCTGGCTACTTTATTTCCCGGAGGTGTGATTATTCTGGCTATCACATGATTACTATAACTGCTACACATGTTACACACATTTAATCATGGTCGAGTTGGCAATTTACTCTTCTTTCCTGTTCATTTCATATCGAAAAAAGTATTTTCATTTAGAGGGCTATGTAGAGAATGTTTCTTTGTTGTATCAACAACAAAGCTGTGATATTTTATTATGCCTCAGGGCAATTGATAAGAAGCTCAAATTTTTCACGTTTAATTTATAATAATAAGTTTCTTTTTTTTCAACGGCTTCCTTGATGACAAATTTTCGGCTTAAATATCTAATAGTTGAAAAATAATGACTGAAAAAATACGAATGATTGTGACCTGGCATTGATTATCAAATGTGTTATAACACTATATGATACATCATTGGCTTATATACTTCATATTTGACATGCAATTAAGGTAATTTTGTCAGGAAAAAATATTTAATCTAACAATGTTTATAATTAACTAACATTTTGTTATAGAAAGGTTTATTCCGTACTTTTATTTTTTCAATATTTTCTGATATATATTTCAGGCGGATAATGGACACATTATGGAGGATAACTCTTCTAACTATTGTTGTACTAGCTTGTCAAATAAGTCAAATATTTGGACAAAACTATCGTGGTGAGTCGGAAGACTTTGATGACTTTGACCTTTCTTCCAAAGACAGTACACAAAAAAGGTTCAGTAAATTTGTGCGAATAGGCCGAGGCCTCAGTTCTTTTATTAGAATTGGAAGACAAGTTCCGTTTGAAAAATTTGATTTGTACCAATTAGCAAATAGTCCATATGGAATTGATGATGACAATAGTGATACAGGAAAAAGTGCCTTTTTTGAAATGCCGCCTGAAACTTTTGAACAACCTTCAAAACGACTGAGCTCATTTGTGCGCATTGGTAGAAATTATGACGATGGAGATGAGCTGGATGATAATATCAACAAACGGGGCGGAGCCTTCATTCGTATGGGAAAGTTTCCATCGTCTGCATTCTTGAGAAACCGTGGTGGAAGTGTAAATGGTTACACGGCTCAACCTTACTACCGCCGCACCGGAAGAATAGGTCATTCTTCATTTATCCGTATCGGTAAAAGGGATACATCAGATGCACTCAGACGCATGTCCGAAAACGAAAACGTACAAGACACTAACGACATAACGCAGCAGGTGAAAAGCACAGTTGGTTATAATGATATTGACAGTCTACTTAAGGATCAAGAAAGAAGATATTTGAAAATAGGACGCGAGGTTGAAGAAATTAATTCTGAAGAAAAACCTGACGACGTAAATGATGGAAAACGGTACCTTAAAATTGGAAGAGATGTCGTTAATAAAACCAATGAAATCGAAGCTGACGGACAGTCAGTCCATGATCCTGAGAACGAAGGAACAGACAGGGTATTCGACAAGCGACTGAGTAACTTTGTCCGAATTGGAAAAGGTAGTTCCGACAGGCTAGATAAACCACCAGAGAAAAGGTTCAGCAAATTTGTAAGGATAGGTATGTAACACATATTATTATTCCTGCCATGACCGTTTAGACTAGCGCTCAATAAATATTACTAAACGATAATGAAAACATCAGAAACTTTTATTTTGTTTCTTTATCGTTTCTTTAATTAAATAAATCAGGAAACGTTTGATAAAAACACAATTCCTTTCAAAACGTAATCCATTCGCATATTAAAAAGCATAACATTACATTTCATATAATACCGCAACATAATGCACTAAAACTCAAACATTATAAACGTATAAAACATATACAAAATTTGTGTCTATATTACAGAAATGTTTGAAGATTGATATTTAGTGATATCAAAATAAAGAATAGAGGAGTGTTGTTATTTTGCTTTAGCAATGAATGTAAAATTATTTTCTATACTTGGTTTAAACATATTTGATATCAAACATTCGCGCACAAAGATATATATTACATTTGATTACTTACATCATACAATAATACCTAACATATAATTCATAACTGTATTTGTGTATATTTCATAGATGTTCGAAACATCATATAATACTGAATAAATTTAAGAAAGATGTAAAATATAATAAAATCAAGTTTTAGCTGATAATAGAGAATTTAAGAGTAAAGATAAGTTTGATAGGAACAATTTTTTTAATTTACAGTTGTTCGAATATTGATAGAAAGTACAAAATGTCAAACAACAATATATAAAAAAACATTTCATCATCTTTTTTTTTACTTTTTTTATCAATCAATAGGTAAGAATTACAATACAGTTCCAAATAAAAGAAGGATGAGCTCTTTTGTGAGGATTGGAAGACAGAACAACCAATTAGATAATTTCCCTAAACGCCGAATAAGCTCTTTCGTGAGAATTGGAAAGAAATCTTCAGACAAAGATGATTCTGATGACCAGCAAGAAACAAATTTATATGCGGAAAATTGGTCGCCAACTGAAGATGATTATGACACTACTAACAAAAGAATAAGCTCGTTTGTGAGAATTGGGAAGAGTCAGGAACAGTTAGACGATGATATCAATAAAAGGTATAGTTCTTTTGTTAGGATTGGTAAAAGTGGAAACAGTCTTGAAAATGAATTGGCTAAAAGATATAGTTCATTTGTAAGAATCGGTCGAAATTATCCAAATCTAAAGAACGAGTTTGATAAACGGTTGAGTTCATTTATAAGGGTTGGAAAGAACAATGCGGGAACTAACAGTGAGGATTTCAATAAAAGAATAAGCAGTTTTGTGAGAATTGGGAAAAATAGCCCATCCTTGATTGGTCGTGCTGATAAAAGATACAGTTCGTTTGTACGAATAGGTAAAGGAGCCGACGACTTCGATCCGACCACACATAAAAGATTGAGCTCTTTCATTCGTGTTGGAAAACGTGCAACAGACACATCTGCAAACACAGACTAATTTAAATGAATATGTTAATATTCAATTAAACATCAAAAACAAAAACGTTTAGAAATTGTTAAAATGTTATTAATTTATTCAGATAAAAAAAACAACAAAAAAACATTCTCCGAATTTCCGTTTGAAGTTTTAACAAATATTTTGTTTATATAACAATATGTTTTGCTCGTAATTTGTAAAGCTTTTGAGTTCTCTAAAACTGTTCACAAAATTGGTGATAACGTTGATAATGGTATATAATTTTCATTTCTTAATTAGCTTAAATAGTGATATTGAAATGATTATGCGAATTATCATGGCAATAACCAGAATAACGTGACTGTAATGAATTAAGACAAATATACTTATGCAAATGTTAAATTAATTACTTCAATATTAAATATTCACATGACATGTTCTTTGTTTGATTTTTTGTTGGATACAAAAATAGTACGGCATGGTGTTATGACAAGTTAACTTATAAATATGAATGTGTGTTATTTTTTGAGTTTTAATTTTTTAAAGTACATCCTTAAATTTCAAAGAATATACAGCATTAAGCAATTAACGTAATACAATGAACGTAAATGAGTGAATAATAAGTCAAAAATAAGATGTCTTGAAATGAAGCCTTTAATTTAAGCGAGTCGTCAAGTGCAATATTTAAACACTTTATGTTCAACGTAAAGAAAAAGCAAGGTAGATAGATATACAATGCCACATGAACGCGTTTGTCGTCATGTTTTCATCTTTCAAGAAAATAGTTAAAATTCAAAAGTAATGACTTTTTTCTTCACATCGGAAAGACGCATTCTTTTTATGGTTTTGTTGTTTGTTTGAGATCAACTTGAATATCAAATATGTTTTCTCGACTGGAAGCTCTCAATTTTAGACGTATTTCTCATAAATACATGAAGTCTGTAGCAATAAAATAATTCCACGTTAAATTAACGTTAAATGGTAATGATATTACCTGTTTGATACAAAAAAATAAATGATCACTTGTTTTAATAGTTAAAACAAGCAAGTCTAAAAAAAGAGAAAAAAATACACCAAGCCGATTTTTATTCCGTTATTTTTCGAAGATGTTTTTATTACACTGTCCTTTAAATTGTAAGCGACAGCCATTTTTAAAGTTGTGTATTTCACGGGAGGAAAAAATAAAATGTGCTTGATTCAAAGGGATTTCATTCATACATACATTAGAAAGAAAACTTATTTGGGGATTGTTGCAGACAATAAATCATTGTTGACAGATGAGTAAACATTTTAGGAGCCACTAGGAATTTTGAAACATGGAATTTTTTAAAGGCTGTCCTACGAACGCTGGATTGTTTACTTATCCATCAGGCTGCATGTGACTGTCTTTGCTCTTACACATTGCATTACAGTTATTGCTTGTATGCTACTTAATAATGCCGAAATGTCATCAATAGCGATTTGAATGTGGCAGGAAGTGTATTTTTCAGACTGTTAAAATGAAAAAAGAGATGATGTTTGGTGATTGGTTAACTGAATGAATTGAAATAAGATTTTTTTCCTTTTCATTACCTTTGAAATTTAAGTTATTTATATAATTAAGCTTTGGTTTGTTCTAAGTAGCCTTGACAATGTCGGAATTGTAAGAAACAAAATTGAGGTACCACATGAGGAAAATCTTTAAAAAGTACTTAGTAGTCTCTTCCATGAAAAGTGTGAAATAGCATTTTGCATAAAATAAAATGAAGTATTTTAGAAAATATCATTCATAATATAAATGTTTTTTACTAAATCAATTAGAACAAGATCAACATTTTTTGTTACTAAGAAACGTTTGATTTATAAGCAAAGCCTCTGTCACTTTTGATAAAATTTTATTAAGTACACTTCTAAAATTTATTTGCATTTTGAGAGGAAATGTCAGGTCTATTTGGTTTCAAATACATACGTGTATTTTCAAATATATTGGTATTCATTCCAGGCGTTTACATATAAAATCTTTCACGCATAGTGCCTAGTGACTGGCAACGAAATTGTTCAATAACACAATAAAACGTTAATCAATAATCTTGATATTCCCCTCGGTGGTTAAAGGGTTAAAGGATCTCAGAGATCATTGTCACATATTAAAAGACTGTGTTTGTTTGCGTAAAATGTGATTTTAATCACGATTTTAAGCTTTTTCGCTTGTCGCTTCTGGATGATAAATGGACAACACTTACAACAAGTATATGAATTATAATAATCCAGTCATACGGCTCGATCAGTTGTTACATCAAACGATCATGATAGTACTACAAGAACAGTTTAGAAAGAAACGTATATTGAATTATTTCGCGTTTCATCTCTAGAATGATAAGCTAAAACAACTTGTTTATTCAATACTCCTACACTCCTGGTATATTTTAATTGTTGCAAATTATTTATAAACATGTTTCAATTAAAACTTATTTCCGTTGTCATTATTTTCAGCGTGAATTTATTCATATTGTTATCTTTGTTCAATGCGATACAATTACAGTTAACATAGTTTGTTAAAGAGTCTTTGAAATTAAAATTTCATGTTCTCTGTTTTACGACATGCTACCTATCTTAACATAAAAAGTCTCTGCAACAAAAGGTACACTACATTGTATAGCATAAATATCATGTAAGTATTAATTATTCTGCTATGAAGTTTGCTTTTCAACATAATAAGAAAGGAATTGAAAAAGAGCATGACGTTTATATATTAAATAGACACTGATTTGTTTGTTGATTATTCATGCAATGCAACTTTGCTATAAATTGAGAAAACAATATTGGGAAACGAAATTAAAAAAAAACAGTATCATTTTAACAGTGCCTTTAAAGATAAATTATATTCAAATTTGACATTGAAATATTATGATAATTACTTTACAGTCTCTTTTAAAATGTCAAATAAATATCTTTTCAATACACATATAGAAGATATGTTATGTTTTAAACACTTCATGCTACAGGTAATCACGGCATGATTAAACGTCATTAAAAAATGGCAGTTTTTATGAGAATGGACCAAATCATTTTGACAAGTAATAGGAAATGCATGTTCCAAAATATAATTTACACATTCTTTTATTCAAATTAGACATATTAAAGATGAATTAACTTGATGTCAATAAAAGTATTTAACTCAAAGATTAGCATAGTATATATTTAAGTACTTAACGACACGACAGAAGTTATACGGCGACATTTAAAATCTTTATCTAAAGGTTATAAAGGTAAAGTTTATGAAGTGATCCGAACCAAACGATTCTTTGAAATTATTGTGCCGTTATACAAAACAAAAGTCTGCAGAACATATTTTTTAAACTTTTACTGTATTGAAAAACTATAATTGACAAAAGCCATACAATTATATAGTTATCGGTATCAATCAAACGATTTCAAATTATTGTTAGCAAATAATTCGAATTTGGCTACAGCATTATTTTAGTACATCCTGAATGTAATCTTTAAAAGTGATATGGCCAAGTTTCATGATTCTTGAAAAACACGTTTGATAATTTAAGCATATCGTTCTCTTTCATATAACAAGAGAACGGATAAAAAATAAACAACCGTCTGATTAATTTCATCAATATAAATTGAGAATTTGTTAATTAAGGTTACTGACAGGTATCAATAGAAGCAATATACTCTATATTTATCATGATAAAGGAGTCCAGTGTTAATATTTTTGTCAGCCCTATGGTTTAATGCCTCAGGATATACTTTTTAAATTAAATCTTGGAACTGTTCATCAACAGATATAGAGATTAAGTTTGTTCTTACTGATATCCCTTTACAAGAAATTCACATGGCTGCTACTGCTCTATTAAAGCTATGCAAAGAAGCTATTTCTCATGAGACGGACTTTCAAACATCTCTTATCTTTGTAAAAGCAATATTAAAATGGTAGTAATCCTCTCGGTTTTAGTGAGAAATGCTGATTAACGTTTACGTTCTTTGTTGTAATTTAAAGAATTGAAGATACTTAAATAAGTCGTTTCTAAATTGCTTGATAATGTTAAAGCAGCACGCTTCCAGATTCATCCTATTGTAATTTTTATGATGATTTTGAAAATGTATCTAAGAGTAAAATATTGTGAAATGAACAAAGAAAGTAATTGGCTTATTGCAATCGACAATTATAATCAACGTTAAGTTTAGTACAGTTATTCCAAGTTTAATTTTCTTGAAATATTTTGGTTCATCTGGAAGCATGCAGTTTTTTAATATTTTTTAAATAAGTTATAAGTGGATTTGCATGAAAATGCAACGTTCCTAAATTGACGGTATTATTAAGTTACTTACTGGTTTGAAAAGAAACAAAGTGGTAAGTCAATAATATGGATAAAATTTGAACATTTAAATTTACCTAATATTACCTAATAATTGTATAATTTAAATGTTCAATCTTGTAATTTCTCCAATAATTTTTTGTACTAATTTACCAATCAGTATTCCTCTGATACGATATATACTTATCATGTATCTCTTTCTTTAAGTTCATTAGTAGTTTTCAATCAAAATGACTTAATCAAGAATCATACTAGAATAGAATAAATTTCATTATGATTTGCCATTGATTTTAAGCTTATGACAAATATACTTTTATTTACAAATTCGATAAAAACATACCTTATATAAGGTCAATCGTTATATACCAATATCGTCGTATGTCACAACATTGATTGGGAAATTCCGGGATCTTGTAAACGTTTTGAAAGTTATAAAAATATTTCAAGCTTATTTTTAAATCGATATACTGTATATCATATGTATGATGTTAGTAATATTTCTACCTCTTTATCGGCATATACCGCCTCCTTGGTCGAGGGATTAGAGTCGATGACTTCTAATCCAGTTACCTCTCTGGCGTGGGTTCGATCCCCGGGATATGCTTTGATAGTTTAGCACGGAGGAAGGTGGTCTAGTACTGGTGTAACTCTCCAGGAACGATGGTTAGGAAACTACCCGCCTATATGACTGAAATACTGTTGGGAAAAGGCGTAAAATGAAACCAACCAACAAACAAACAATCTTTATCGGCACATCATACGACACAAAATTAATATCACGTGCGTCCTGGATAATTGATCCATCATGTCCTTAGCCATCATATGGTATTAGAAAACACGGAATATTTCGAATTTTTTAACCATTCTTTGTGCTGAGTTTCTAAATTTTCGGAAGTATGCTGCCTGTAAGATAATATTATTTAAATAGTTTAGACGATATAAGCTTCAAGTGGTAAGACTCTGAAATGTTAAAAATCTATTATTTATATACAACATTTTAAAACACATGTTCGCCTTTTCTGAAATGTTTAAAATCTATATTAACAGCATTTTAAAACAACTTTGTCATATTCTGAAATGTTTAAAATCTATAATTACGTATAGCATTAAACGACACACTTTTGATCTT